TATACCTATATATACACACATATGCAATATACATACTTATGTATATTTATACATATATGTGCATATAAACACAAATGTGCATGTGGACAAAACTTAGCCTATTATGTAATTTAATGCCTGGTAAATTAAGATATTTTTGAAATGTTTAGCTACATTCATAGGTCATCTGCAATGCTGTGGAAAAACAGCTTTAAAAAGCATTAAATCCAATAAAGAAGGGATTTTTTTTGGGGGGGAGAAAACTGAAAAAATAAAGTGAATGGGGAAGTTAATGTCATATCCCAGTGGATGCTACCAACATCTCTTATAAGATCATTCATTTTTGATACTTTTAACAAAGTCACAAGTATCAACTTTAAGTTTCTAAAGAGGAAACATTGCCAGGTGATTTTATGTAAACATATGTTGACCTTTACAGTAAGAAGTATTTAACTCTATTGGGGAAAAAAATGGCCAGGTATGAAGTTCTTAGAATTGTAAAGGCAAAGGAAATGTGACTGTCAACTTCAAGTGAATTTCCAAAATTCCCCATTATTCATGTGCTTTCTCAAAGGGTGAAATGCACATTGAATTATTATTTCATGAATTATAGTTGGAATGGAATTCTTACATTTAATTTAAACATAAGGAACCTGATTTAATGACTTTTATTACACTTCTCCTGCTGCACAAGCTCCTGAACAAAAGCTTTTAATGTGAGTGTTCAGCATGATGTATTCATAGTTAGAATTACAATCCCAGTTATCCATTTATCCACCTACAAATACTGTTGCCAGAAGTTGTTTGCTTTTAAGCTATGCTCTACTTTTCGTTCAGGGAATATGCCATTGACTTAGAAGCTAAGAAATGTAATTTCTATTCCCATCTGTAGAAAGTCTAAGTTCATCCTATATGCATTTTTCAGAAAGTTTGGAATTAGATCAGATAACCTTATAGTAACATGCTAGGTTGGCTTGATCAAGCCAGAAAACCTGCTTCATCCCAATTGCCATATAAATATATTTTTGAAATTTATTTAGAGGCTGTTCCGTGTCAGGCTTTTGAGGTCTATATTTCTGCCTTCCAAAATTTGCAAATAGATCAACAAAGAACATTTAGAGGTAAGAACTGAATTCAATGAACCTTTATTGATCATGTAATTATAACTCTATACTCATGTGTGTGTGTGTGTGTGTGTGTGTGTGTGTGTGTATGACTGTGTGTGTATGTCTACATCTCTATCTATGTATCCATCTTTATTTCTATCTGTCTAATTAGTGTACAGGGGTAATAGAATATCCTATTCTTTTTGTTAATTTTTTTTTTGCATAAGTTATGCTGGCCATGATATGAGAAGTGTTATAGGAAGTGATTACGAACACAGGAAATCCCAAGAGGCATGTCTACACCCAGCTGAGGAACAGAAGGCAGTAGGAAATAGATAGGACACAGACTGTTGTAATTGTGACATCTTCTACTTCAACAGCTCCCTATACCTGCAGCTATACCTATGACTAACATTCTCTCTCTCTCTCTCTCTCTCTCTCTCTCTCTCTCTCTCTCTCTCTCTCTCTCTCTCTCTCTCTCTCTTTCTCTCTCTCTGTCTTTGTCTGTCTTTATATATGCATACACACATACATACTTACACATATATACACATACATATGTGTGTTTTCTATATTGACATCTCTTCACTTTGGCATTTTAAACCCTTAACAATATGACTCATACCTATCTTTCTTGCCTACTTCATGTTATTTCCCATCTCACAGTTTTCTCTACAGCCAAACTGACCTACTAGTTAGTTCCTATATACGACATATCTTTCATCTTCCTTCATTTCCTCCTCGCAGCACTTTGGAGAATCTCTAGTTTCCTACAAGGGATAGCTTAAGCACTTCCTCCTATCTGAGGCCCTTCAGGATTTCCCTTAGTTAGTATTCTCTTGAATACTTGAAATTACTTTAAAACTATTTGTGACAAGTTTTATCCTCTGATAATATGTAGGCATCTTTGTCTTAGCATCTCAAGTGCCTAGCATAGAGCCATGGACATAGTGGTGCTTAATAATTGCTTGAAGAATTGAATTTGTTAGGGTAGGATCGGGTCCCTTCAGAGCAGGTGAGAAAAATTAAGGAAAGAAGAGTTCAGAATAAAAAATTCTTAATTATAAAGTTAAGGAAAGGTAATATGACTTAGCCAATTTTTTTAAAAAGCTGCTGTGTGGCAAAATCAAAACCAGAAAACAAGTTATTCCTCGCTTCTGAGATGAATACATTTTTCCATTACACAATGTTGCTCCCATTAGTGGGAAGAGTGGAAAGGTGTGCAAAGGTTTCTGGCCTTATTTTCCTTCAGGTATACCTTACTTTCGGAATACTCTTTTTTTTTCCATTTGTACCTCTCCATTAAGAACACAGCTCTTTCAAACATTCACTCCCATGACACTTCATAGTTTCCTACTTTTACGACCTTGTTTCATCATTTATATCTCTAGATGACTTTCCCAACCAGCACAAGGGGAGAGTTCACATCCAATCATACATTTTGAACAAAGGAACAGAACAGAGAGGTAGGTAGAGGGAAAAGTAGATGATTGAGGTAAGGAAGAAAAAGGGAATGAAGAGGCTGTCAGCTGCATAATCAGTCATGGGTGTCAGTCATACTCTCCATCATTGCTCCACAGCAGCAAGGCTAAAACTAAACAAATTATTTTTTCTCACAGAAAGTTATCCAGGCAAATTAAAGGGAAGACAGTATGACATACTGAGATGAGCAAGAAACCTGGGTTTTCATTCTGTGTTTGTCAAATCTCATGATGTGAACTGAGGCTAGTAACTGAATATTTATGGGTCACATAATTCTTCTGTAAAATGAGAGAATTGAGTTAGATAATATTTAAGGTTCCTTCCACCTATAAAACTCTGTGAATCTATGGAATTTATTCTTTTCTTGCTAATTTTTATATCTGTCACATAAATTCATATGAAATACTCTTGACAACATGAGAACAATTATGAACTATTCTGAATTCAGCATTGGATCTTTGGGACAAGTTCAATCTATCAGCCTACAATTTGTTAGGTAAATATTAGCATAGGAAATGTTTTGGAGTTTGATTTTATAATATATCTCCAGGGCTCATACTATAGGAAAGTGAATAACTAAGAATTTTATATAACAAGATTTTACTGGTACTTTTAGAAAAATCCTTATGGATCAGGTTCCAAGATAAATCTCTTTTCTATTATATTCCATACCATCAAAGGGTATGTTTTATCTAGGCTGCTAAAGACCATTTTTTCATATTTTGATGTAAATTTGCCTGATATTGCATAATGCTTTAACATACTTAACATATAAAATTGAATTTAATTTTGTAAAAGAAAAAAAGTAAAATAAAATTATATATGATAAGTGAAGATAAATAGCTATATTAAAATAACCTTTAAAAAAGTTTGCCTGAGAATACTGAGAGCTAGTTTTCATATAACATTTTGAGATTTGTAAAGTATTTTATGTGGCAGCTGATGGTGCAATGGATATGGTGCCAGTCCTAGAGTCAGAAATAGTTGAGTTCAAATCTAGCCTCAGACAATTTCTAGCTGACTGACCCTGGGCAAGTCACATAAGCTCTGTTGGTCTCAGATTTCCTCAACTTAAAATGGGGATAATAATACAACCTACCTCACAGGTTTATTGTGAGGATCAAATGAGATATTTGTAAACAGCACTTTAACACAGTGTCTGATATATAAAAGAAACCCTATAAGTGATTATTCCTTCTCTCACCTTTCTCTTTTACATATATTATATCATTTGATCTTAACAACATCTCTGTAAGGCAAGTGCTATTATTCCTATTTTCAAGATGAGGAAATTGAATATCAGGGAAATTAAATGGATTGCCCAGAGTCCCACAGTGGCCTCAGAAAATTACTAGCTATGTGACCCTGGGTAAGTCAATTAACCATATTTGCCTCAGTTCCTTATCTATAAAATAAGCTGGAGAAGGAAATGGCAAAACACTTCAATATTCTTGACAAGAAAACACCAAATGAGGTCATGAAGAATCAGACACAAATACCTAACAAAAGAAGTACTGACCCTTCTAAATAGCAATAGACTTAGTTTAGAAAAATCTGTCTCAATATTTTCACATCTCTTGATAGCCAGGAATGTTGATGATTTTAAATACTGAAGAACATTAAATATTAGTCCCTATAGCATGGCAGATTAAACCCCTTGTCTCAAAGTCAGAAAGTCCTGGATTCATGTCTTGGCTATGAACATACTTCTTGTATGATCCTGGGCAAGTCATTTCATTTCTCAATGTACTAGGTTACTTTCTAAGACTTTTGGTTGCAGAGAAGGTGCCAACCTATATAGATAGAGTTTCCTTACTGGAGTGTTTACTGTATCAAAGAAATCACTGTCCCAGTCCCTATCTATATAGAACACAAATGTTATTTTACCTAATAGTCCTAGTCTCTTTTGTGATTTAAACATAAATCCAAGATCTTCATTAACTTAAAAAGCTACTTTCTAAACAAATGGCAATTTTAGTTTTTAGTTTTTATGTTTTACAAGTTGTCTTTTGCTGTTGGAAAAAAAAATCACTTTACTGAAGTAACTAATGTTGCTTTAAGAATAGTACAATAATAAGTAATCACATAACTAACTTAGGTAGAAAATACAAATTTTGTATATATGTATAGATTAAAATAGTGACTTTTTAGTACTAGATTTTCCTCCCAAAACTCTCTCCCAAGACAGATTAAGAAAAAAAAGTTCTATATTTTTTATAAAAATAAAATTATGACTCAAAGAACCTTAAAAAAAGCCAACATATAATGTTCCTATATGACAGTCAATACTATATGCAACAGAATACAAATAAATTTTCCTAAGTGTGTATTGAAATTACCAACTGATAGAACACATTTTTGGTTATAAGATGTCAGTAAATGTTCTGCTTGTGATATACATAATAATAACAAAAGAAGTAAAATAACAGTTACCCTAAAAGACATTTCAAGATTCTCTCCACCCCAGATATCCATTCCTGCATCGTAAGCTCCTATCTCTTCAAAGTAGTTTCTGTCAATCGAAAATAGGCCGCCAGCCATAGTAGGGGTCCTAATTGGAAAAAAAATAACACAGAAAACAACATTCTTTGAAAGACAATGTGTGGAATAATAAGTGAGATTTTAACATACATCTTTAGAGACATTTTGCGTTTAAAAAAAGGCATTGAAAATATTACATTTGCAGCTAAAAATGATACATACATATATATGTACACACATAAATATAACCATATTTATATATAACTATATAGGAATATATACATATATGTGTATATATGTGTGTGTATATATGCATAAATATGTATATGTGTGTATATATGTATGTGTATATATAATACAAAATAAGATGAAACTAACTTTTTTCCAGCATTTGTACCAAACAGCTCTACTGAGGGAATATTGGCCTTTTAAGTAAGACCTGGGCAAAAATTGAAATACCCCCTCAGAAAAGATTAGTGAAACAAATTCCATGCCTTGAGCCCCCATCTGAAAGGGCTGAGTAGATCATAAAAGTTTTAGTCATAAACTTGTAGCAAAATTGTAAATTAATAAACCATGCACATCCAGATCAAGTTCAATTCTTTGAGGAGCATGAGGATATTGCCTTCACTGAAGAGCTCTACTGCACTTTTAATTTTTTTCTAGAAGACATAAAATGTTTATAGGAGGTGGTATTGGCATGGCGAACAGCTCTAAAATTATCTCTTCAACATGAAAGCTGTACCTGCCAATGTGTTATTCCTCTTTCACCTGAATTACAGGGGAGGAGATAGACATGTAACCCTAAATGTGGCCATAAATCAGTAGAATCCTTAGGCCAGAAAGGTCATCTAATAGTGACTGAAAACTGCATGGTATTTTCTTGTTGGAATAAAATGTCCTTTCTTTTTTCTACCCAATGTCTCTCTATACAGGATCTAAAAGTTCAAGCATTGCTTTTAGAAAGAACATTTTCTTCTTTTATTTTTATTTTTTGATCTAGGCCTGTGATTTTATCATTGTAATAACTTTGTATGGAAAATCCTTCCAGTGATACAGATCAACAGCCCCTCTCTAACTTGAGAATTGCTTGGAACACTTTGAATTTAAGGGACTTAACCACAGTTAAACAGCTAGCATGTGTCAAAAAGTGAACCCAAGTCATTTTAACTCTAAAACTAGAGCCAATGTTCATGCCTAACTGCCCCTCAAATATTTAACAGGATGTTATTAGTGAGGGAATTAAGGTGCCTTTGGAGGGAAAATATTTTTTCCCCTTCCTATACATTGCAAATATCATATTCTTCTTTGAAAAAGCACGCTTCCAAATAAACCAGCGAAGGTCAGGATTATTTTTGAATGTAACCTATTATATATTCATTGTACAATTGCTTCTATCTATTACACTTAGGCAGACATCCAAGCAGGAATCAGCTTGCCTTGTCCTTACAGTTGGTTCAACACTTAACAAATCAAATACTTCACTGCTTTCACTAGCACATCTTCATCTGTCAAGCTTATACTCACGTCTCCTAATAAGATAGCACCATTCACTGAATAACAATCAAATAATACAGTACTTGGGCATTTACCATATTGCAGAAGTCTCAATTTCTCCCAGTGTGCCTGATGTTTCAGGCTCAGGTAATTAACTGTCTGTCATTTGGAATAGCTAAAGCTTCCTACGTCTCAAAGCTCCTTTATTACTTTTGGTCTTGCTGGGTTTCTGCCATGCCCAGTATCATGGACCTTCACGAGTTATAATGAGAAGCAATAACAAAGATGAACAGATGGTAATGATTGACTAGCCATGACCCTGCACCTAAGTGGGGCTTTGGAACTCAATGGTGATAACTATATGGTACATTTATATTGTATGGTCTCCTTAATAGGACTATAGAAAAATATTGTTTCAGTTATTCTACCATAATTTTGCCAAATAGTTTAAAGTGCTAAGTGATCCATTTTCAATGACTACCTCAAAGTGCCTAGCCACTTATCAAAAGAACAACAAAATGGTAAGGTATTTTAAGAAAGCAAAATAAAGTTTTCAATTTAACAAATGGATATCATTTACACATAGAGAAGAAACATAAAACAAGACATAAACTATTTCTAAGTATTTAATGAAATTAAATTTTACAATTCTAAATAAAGAATAATTACAATATGTTTCCATTATACCTGACGAAAGGCAAGGAGAGGAAAAATTACCCATGTCTCTTAATTTATTAGGTTTCTATGGTAAGGTTTTCAATATAAAAGGGGCCTTTATGGATACATGCAATATAATTAGACACTTCCTACTGTCTCTTGGCTTATAGAATATTTAATGTCTGTGTGTTACTGACATTTTTTCCCTGCGTATTGCCTATCTTACATTGGCCCCCTAAAATTCTCAACCTTGACAAGCCATCTCATACTTCCATGCATTTGCATAAACCATAATTTATGCCTGAATGTACCTGTCTCATCTCTCATTCTTTGAATTTTCATTTTCACTTCTTGATAATACCAGCTTTGTACATAGCTCTTTAGTTTTGTATTCCCTAATTTCCTCAGTTATTAATGTTTTCTTTCTCTCTTCAAATTGCATTGTCTTTACTTCCCTGTATGCATTACTTCCCTTACATGCTACTATTGGAATATAAGTTCCTTGAGGGCAGGGAAATATTTCTCTTTTTTCTTTGTATCTCCATCCTTTCATATCACCTCAAACTAGCAGGCACTTGTGGAAATATTTGTTGAATCAAATTCAATTAAACTTATAATATAAAATGTCTACTGAATTCAAGGCACTATTTTGTCAATTTTGCCTATATGCTGTATCTCTCTATGTAACATACAAATCATAAGCTGAAAAAATACAAAGTAAATTTAACTGATCATTTTGTCTTTGCACTGCCAGGCATCTATTTATTGCATATCTATTATACTGAAGCATTATTAATGGTTCTTGTGTCTGGGTTGCCTTTTTAGGGGCAAAATTATGAAAAAAAATTCAGAAAACCAAAGGGAAAATATCGTGAAACTTTTGGCAATTTTGAAGCTAGATGGAGAAAGGCTTTTTTTGTTTCAAAGATATAGGGGGAATTTTCCCAGGTCCATGGCTCATAAGTTGGAGTTCAATAAGGCAATTTAAATGTTTTTGAAGGCTCAAAGGAGGACTTTTGTTGTTTCTGTTGATAGTGAGGATAGTGTAGAACATTAGAGAGAATGCTGTTTTAATAATCTGTCAGCATTTAAATTAGGAATTAGGTTAGGGAAACAGATGCCAAAAGAGGTGATATGCCTACCAGCCTTGCCAAGGCAAATAATTAGCTAGAAATAAGTATGATCTAGGGTCTAGAGCAGAAAATTGGTCTGGCAGAACTCAAAGGCAGGAGATGTTTCAATGGGTAGAGGTGACTAAAATAGATTAAAATGTAGACCCCGAATGGTTTCTTGGAATTAAGATTTTGATGAATGTATGTATGTATGTGTGTATGTGTGTGTATGTATGTATGTATGTATGTATGTATGTATGTATCTATCTATCTATCTATCTATCTATCTATCTATCTATCTATCTATCTGTCTGTCTATCTATCTCCCTGTGTCATTTTAACCCTATTCATATTTTTGTCTTTGCTGTGTCAGTAGCAAAAAATTTAGAAAATCTAGAGAAGTATTTTCAGTGGTAATCTGGAAGCCAAATAAGAGGAGAGTGAATAATTTGGGTCTCTCTTATATGTAAAGTCAGGTGTTCTGGAACAGAGGAGATATGATGGCATTAAGAAAGTAGTAGAGCATGGTGAGTCAATCTTTAGAGCTTGGAAGCTGTTGGAAAAGAAAAAAATAGGACTAGTAGGGTACAATCATTCAGGAACAATAAAACAAGTTATCATATTCTTTAGTTTTACAGCCTTCCAAATATCTATCGAATCATAGTACAGCATTCATTCCAAACCAAGACATTCACACAGTGTGTGAAGGCCAAGTTGCTAAGAACATAACTCACTGTATGTTCATACTCCAATTTCCTTAACTCCTTTTCAAGGATTAAATGTGTATACATATTCTAATACTCTGGTGGATATGTAACTTCATTAATGTGGTATTGCCTCCAATCATGTAGAAACAACCTACCTGTGCCAAGACATTCTGTGATAATCTTGAACATGTTCTCCCACAGATTTGCATAGGTAGGCCTAATTTGCTTTAACACACCGAAGGTGCTTCATTAAAACCAGAAACTCAGATCAGTAGTCAGTTTTTATTAGCATTGTTAAAGAGACATTCCTCACTAGTATTTCCCTAGACCAGTGAAATTTCAGAACCAACCAGAGAAAAAAAAACATAAACACTCTCTGTCTCTCTTCTGCCTTGCCTCATTCCCTCTCTCTCTCTCTCTCTCTCTCTCTCTCTCTCTCTCTCTCTCTCTCTCTCTCTCTCTCTCTCTATATATATATATATATATATATATATTATATATATATATATATACACACATATATACATGTGTATATATATACATACATATGTATATATATACACACACATATATATATATACACACACACACATACATATACATATATATGTATACATAGATAGATACATAAGATATAGATATATAGATATATGTGCGTATGTGTATATATGTATATATAGACATCTAGATATAGATATATGGATATAGATAGATAGATAGATAGATAGATAGATAGATAGATAGATAGATAGATGTTTCTACTTAGGAGGATTCAGACTAATCAATAATAATTTTAATATATATAGGAGAAAAATTATAAAATGATAAAGTTAAAGAGAAAAAACAACTTTGTAAACTTAGAAATCTGATCAAAGGAATGATAAGTCATGAACATAAAAGAATGAAGATGAAACCTATTGCTGATCTCCTGACATAAAGGTCATGAATTTAAGATGCAAAAATGGATACACATTTTTGGAAATGGTAAATGTGTGATTTTGTTTTAGTTCATTATGTAGTTATACACTGAGGGATTTGTGAGTTTTCTTTTAAATTTACTCAATTAGGAGAGGTAGTAGTACACAATGGGTAGAGCA